TTGCCCCCCCCCCCCCCCCCCCCAAGAAATGGATATGGGCTTGATCATTACTACAATTTTAGGTTGCCAGTGTGTGGCTATGTAGTTGGTAGGACATTTTGGGTGTATGCTAGGTGGTTGACACCAACAGAATAACCATCAGCCATCCCACCCAAACCCACATTAAACAATTTAAATTATTATTATTATTTTAGATGTTCTGTAATATATTAATTTACCACAATAAATGACTAATATTTAACTTTGTCAAATAAATAATTTGCCCCTAAATTAATAATAATAATTATAATTATTAGGGATGCACCGATACCGATACTGGTATCGGGCCCGATACTGAGCTCCTGTACTCGTACTCGTTAAAATGCCCCGATACCAAACGCCGATGCCACACGGCATGTGTTAAGTGTCATATTCAGACAAAGAAACACAGACAACAGACAGCAGAATGGAGTTATTAGAGATTAAAGATGTCTACGAAGTATATGTATGCAATGAATATAAAACATTCAGTATTAATGCCTGTATTGCTGAATTGCGCCAGCTGGTAATCAAAAAAAGCGTGCGGCGGCGCAGATGCGCAAGCTTGTCGAGTGAATATCCCTTTCTCACAGACATCACTGGAAAGTTTGTAGTTCGGTCAAGGATATCAAAAAGTAGTAAGTAAAACAATGCACAAGTTACTTAATGGTAGGGAGGGGGAGAGAGAGAGAGCGCGCACTTCTGTTGTGTGATCTTTATTGATGTTCGCTCACTTAGCACGCATTATTTTAATATTATATATTAAAACTCAAGTGTAAATATAAGACAATTTATAGGGGCATTCACTATAAACGTCATTTATTTTCACCCTTAAGCATACACAACTTTCTGGCGAAAGTGAAACTAACAGACTGTGTGAAATGTGCTAGGCTGTACTGTACTTGTCCCTCTCATTCTGCACCAGTACAAATATGTGTGCGCGTTGCACATGTTTTGCTTGCTTCATGAGTGTTTCTGCATTATATGAGTGACTTTGGAAAATAAATCGCTGCACATTTCAGATGAAAAAACCGCGACTTCTATTTATGAAAATATCACAGTTAGGAGATTGAGAGAGCGTGCACTTCTGTTGTGTGATCTTTATTGATGTTCGCTCACTTAGCACACGCATCATTTGGATTAAAACTAAATCGTAAATATAAGACAATTTATAGGGGCATTCACTATAAACGCCATTTATTTTTACCCTTAAGCATAGACGACTTTCTGGCGAAAGTGAATCTAACAGCCTGTGTGAAATGCGCTAGGCTGTACTTGTCCCTCTCATTCTGCAACAGTACAAATACGTGCACGCGTTGCGCGTGTTTTGCTTGCTTCATGAGTGTTTGTGCATTATATGAGAGGCTTTGGAAAATAATTCGCTGCACGTTTCAGATGAAAAAAACACGACTTCTATTTATGAAAATATCACAGTTTGGAGATTTATAGTGAGTGGTTCCCTGAATTTTTACAGCAAATCGCGTGATTACAGTACTAAGCCGCTGCAATGGAGCAGCTCTAATGCTATTAAATTAAAGATGATGTAGGCTACCATAGAGAGAGAAAAAAAATTAACAGTGAAAGTAACAAAAACTTGTAAAATACATTTTAATGGGCATAATTAAGTGTGAAAATAACAGAAGGATATACAGTCAAACCAAAAAATATTCAGAGACCAGATATAATTTTTGATATTTTTTTACTAGTGGGTGCAGGACACTATAGTTCATTTATGTAAAGTGAGGATGGCAAAATAAACTAAACTGTGATATTTTATACCCAAAAATTCTTCATACAGTGGACTACCAGTAAAATTTATACAAATTTGGGACCAAAAATTATTCAGACCGAGTCTGGGAAAAAATTTAAGTTCAGGTTTGCATGAACCTGGTTGACAGCATGCCCAGGAGACTACAGGCTGTCATTGAGGCTAAGGGTCAACCGACAAAGTATTGATAGTTGTGTAAATATTGACAGCTGTATGAATAACTTTTTGGTTTATTGTAACCAAACATACCTACAAATCCATTACATACCTTTCTATCAAAGTTATCTGACATTATCAAGCTGAATTTGTTCTGACACCGTTTAACTCTGAGTTCTTGTCATATTTTATTACCATTTTCTAATTTTCTAAACTATAGAGAATAAACTGATAATGTGAGAAATGTTGAAGGTGTCTGAATACATTTTGGTTTGACTGTATCTATTTGATAAATTAAGTTAACCAACTAACATTATACATACTCTTTTGGTTTCTGTACCCAATATTTAAAAAATTTACAAATGCAATGAAAATATTGGTATCGGTACTCTGTATCGGCAAGTACCAAAAATAAAAGTATCGGTATCGGGCGAGTACTGGAAAAAGTGGTATCGGTGCATCCCTAATAATAATTATTATTATTATTTAGGGGGAGGGACATGCTCATTGTAGAAAGCATTCACTTGACAAAATGATGTTATTATTACTATTATTATTATCATCATTAATAATTATAATAATTGGATATTTTATTGGACACATTTGTATCTACCTCTGCAAGATGAGTCATTAATATTTTGTTTTCCTGGAGGAGAGAAAATCAAAATTTGTTTGTCTGCTAACAGTCAGCTGTACATTCAGTGTACATTAGCATACAAATGATCTCAAATCTCAAATTCTTAACCCTAAGAATGAGTGATAGTAAGAGTGATGCTATACAAGCATCACTAATCGAGTTTCTGAGTCAATAGTTCTTTAAAATGAATCACTAATTTCTCCAAGCAAAAACAAGCTGTTTTACGGCGATGTATGCAGGTTTTGTGTTACGTGATGAGCTAGAATACAGGCAGTGCCCATGTCTGCCTCACACTCACCTATTCCACACTTTCCACAGATAAGAATTTCATTACCAGGAACCAGAGACATGTCAGAACACACTGAGCATTTGGGTTCTTCCCCAGGGACACCAGCTGTGCGAGAGAACGAGAGAATAAAGCTTCAGTTACCTCGTCACAAAGCAGTAATACCATACTGTCACACACACACACACACATCTCATAGGACACACTGACATTTTAAACCAAATATCTGCTTTCTAGCTTGCTGATGAATTTTTGCTGCTTCTTCTGAAATTAAAAATCCCGGGTTTGTACGATGCATATTCCACTCAACCTCTTACCATGCTGTATGTCTTTCCAAAGCACCCAGAACTTAGAGTTGTCTTCAAACGTCACCAAGCAATTCTGTTTTGAGGTGCTCACCTATAGGGGAAATGGAATAAGGAATGTATGTATTGTGAAATGCAAACATAAAACTGTAATAAACATGAATATATATTTGATTTCATGATTATAGAACATTCTATCAGGTCATGAACATCTCTTCCTCCTGGGACCCAGCAATTCATTTTTGTCCTCTGCAGGGGACATTGATTTTTGGCAATTTCAAATGGCACAGTTTTATATATCTAGTGTATCTTAAAGTGGGCATCCTGGGCTTTCAAAGCACAGTATGATTTTCTTTTTCAAGAAAGACATGTCCCTTTTTTAATAATGTTCTTTGTAAGGTACATCATGTCTTTTCACATTGAACAGGGTAAAAATTAACAATATTCCAATTAAATACGACATTTAGCAATTTGACACAAATAAATGTTCTTATTATTATACAATTTTTTTCCATTGAAAGTTGTTCATATAAAAAATGCACATCAAAACTGCAATTTATCCATATGTTTACACAAATTATGAAATTAATCAGAAAAACAAATGGCAAAGTCTGATTTATCTGTTTAAACTGAAATTTAGAAAAAAAATATCTATTTTTGAAGGAATAGTTTACAAAATAAATAAATAAATTGGCTTAAAATTTACTCACCTTCAGGCCATCCAAGATGTAGATGAGTTAGTTTTTTCATCAGAACAGATTTGGAGAAATTTTGCATTACATCACTTGCTCACCAATGGATCTTCTGCAGTGAATGGGTGCCGTCAGAATGAGAGTCCAAACAGCTGATAAAAACATCTCAATAATCCACAAGTAATCCACATGACTCCAGCTGATCAATTAATGTCTTGTGAAAAGCTGTGTTTATAGGAACCAAATTCATCAATGAGGCATTTTAACTTTAAACCATTGCTTCTGGAAAAAATGCAAGTCCATAAACCATGATAATGCTTCCTTCAGTGAAAAAGTCCATCAAATCCACCAACATATTTGTTTAGAACTGTTTTGGACTGTTTATGCTTGTAAATGGTGCTTGATTTGTGCATATTTCTCTCCTGACTCAGACGAGACAAGTTTTACCCTGGAGAAAGCAATTTTATGGATAGAGGACTTTAGAGTTATTTTAGCCGTGGTTTGAAGTTAAAAACATCTTAATGATGAATTTGTTTATTACAAACATGCAGCTTTTCACTTAACAAGACATAAAATCAGGGGTCACCAAACTCGGTCCTGGAGGGCCGGTGTCCTGCAGAGTTTAGCTCAACTTGCCTCAACACACCTGCCTGGAACTTTCAAGTATACCTAGTAAGACCTTGATTAGCTGCTTCAGGTGTGTTTGATTAGGGTTGGAGCTAAACTCTGCAGGACAGTGGCTCTCCAGGACCGAGTTTGGTGACCCCTGCATTAATTGATCGACTGAAAGATTACTTGTGGATTATTGTGATGTTTTTATTAGTTGTTTGGACTCTGACGGCACCCATTCACTGTAGAGGATCCATTGGTGAGCAAGTGATTCTCAAAATCTGTTCTGATGAACAAACAAACTCATCTACATCTTGGATGGCCTGAGGGGGGAGTACATTTTCAACAAATTTTCATTTTTGGATGAACTATTCCTTTAATGCTGCAAGCATGCTTAACTTAATTCCAATTCTTCATGTTTCCATGCTCCAGTGTCCCAAAGCATAGTAAGTTGAAAAGAGTATGCCAAAAGTCCCCAGATGGTCTACTATTTCAGGTCGATTTTTGAAGTGTGGATCCGTGCACACTCGAATGGCTAAAATTGCCCACAATCCATTGCGCTTTGGCGAAGGATTCGGTCCAGAACTACAAACATGAATAAAACGCGTTAGGAAAACTACAAACGTGGCGGATGCGTACCATCAACGGTTAGGTAGAGAGTAGGGCTGTGTATCACCAGCAAAGTCACGATACGATACGTATCACGATACAGAGGCCACGATACGATATGTATCACGATACATGACTGCACT